AAAAAAAAATCTTGTAAATAAATAAATAAATAAAATCCGAAAGAGTTGGGGCAAGGGGTGTTCGTCCCTGCATCTTTGAACAGGCTACATTATACACCTTAAAAAAAACTCTAAAAGAGTGGTTCTCAACCTTGGGTCCCCAGATGTTTTTGGATTAAAAGTCCCAGAAATCCTGGCCAGCAAAGCTTGTGGTGAAGGCTTCTGGGAGTTTAGTCCAAGAACGTCTGAGGACCCAAGGTTGGAAGCCATTGCTTAATAAATTTAGTGAAGATGTGGTTAGTATCACTTTCAATGTGGTGTTCTTACCCATGAGCTGCCAGGAATCCCAGACTGGAAGGGCTGACTTTATCATTATAGATGACAAGCTCCATATTCTTGCTGCATCCGTCACCCAGACAGCCAGGTCTGTGCTCTTTAACAATCCACCATTCGGGCACATGACTTAAAAATTCCTTGGTAGGCAGCTGCTGCAATTTAATGGTTATATTTCGGAAGAACGCCATCTTGTCTATGTCCTTCGGCGTGCTGGAATGAGCTGTGCAAATCATAATGATGAGTCAATGAGCTGATGGGCACCCCGTGGTAAGTCAGCTACCCAACCCATCCAATTTTGTCCATAGGAGGCGCTGGGATCTCACCTAGAATACTGGAGGAGCTCCTGTTTCCATAATAGAGGACCATGGGAGGGAGGGTAGAAGGATTGTCTAAATCCTAAATGCATTTATTTATTGCAATGTTCATAGCCAGAGGCACATCAATCCAGCCAGCAAAAGGTTTAGCATGACCACTGCTGCTGAAAGCTTGTTTGCCGGTCTCAGCAGGCAGCTCTGATGAAGGCTGCTTTATCTGATGTAATGATGCTGCTTCTGCAAATTTTACAAAGTCTGGGAAAACTAGAAATTCATCAATAATATGCACCTAGTGGGATAGACGAACGTCTATCCTGCAGACATCAGCTGATAGTTACGCTATGAATTCTATCCTTATTTACTATGGGAGGCAAGGTTGTGGTTGTGAGACTGGGAGTTACTGACAAGATTTCAAGGTACCACCGTTTTGTTCTACTTTTTTGTTGTAGGACGGTAGAGTGTTTTGTGGCCATCTTGCAGTCCAGTCCAGTGTTGCCCAGGTGTGTTGGCACATGGACATTTTGAAGGAAGATGCATGAGAAGGGTTGTGAGGTTGACTGAGGTAGTAATATACAGTGGGGTCTCTACTTAAGAACTTAATCCGTATTGGAAGGTGGTTCTCAAGTTGAAAAGTTCTTATGTTGAATCTGCATTTCCCATAGGAATGCATTGAAAACCATTTAATCCGTATCTGCTCTTTTCCGTCCATAGAAACTACAGTGGAACCTCTACTTAAGAACTTAATCCGTTTTGGAATGGTGTTCTTAAGTTGAAACGTTCTTAAGTTGAAGCAAAATTTCCCATAGGAATGGACTGAAAACCAATTAATCCGTTCTGGCTGTTTTTTTGTTATGCAGAGGTGCGTTCGTACATTGAAGCATTATCTAAATCCTAAATGCATTTATTTATTGCAATGTTCATAGCCAGAGGCACATCAATCCAGCCAGCAAAAGGTTTAGCATGACCACTGCTGCTGAAAGCTTGTTTGCCGGTCTCAGCAGGCAGCTCTGATGAAGGCTGCTTTATCTGATGTAATGATGCTGCTTCTGCAAATTTTACAAAGTCTGGGAAAACTAGAAATTCATCAATAATATGCACCTAGTGGGATAGACGAACGTCTATCCTGCAGACATCAGCTGATAGTTACGCTATGAATTCTATCCTTATTTACTATGGGAGGCAAGGTTGTGGTTGTGAGACTGGGAGTTACTGACAAGATTTCAAGGTACCACCGTTTTGTTCTACTTTTTTGTTGTAGGACGGTAGAGTGTTTTGTGGCCATCTTGCAGTCCAGTCCAGTGTTGCCCAGGTGTGTTGGCACATGGACATTTTGAAGGAAGATGCATGAGAAGGGTTGTGAGGTTGACTGAGGTAGTAATATACAGTGGGGTCTCTACTTAAGAACGTCTCTACTTAAGAACAATCCAACTTAAGAACAGCTCCATTTGCTAAATTTTGCTTCTACTTGAGAACAAAGAAGAGACAGCCTTTATATGGGATGTCAGCAAAAACAGAGGAGGAGAGGGGTGGAGAGATAAAACATTGCGGCATTTTAAAAGTTTGAGAAGGTTGCCAGAGACGCCGCCTGTGGGCCATATTCTTCTGTAAGTTATGCTAGCAAATTTAAAGAGAAGAAAAGGATCACACAGAGAGAGGAAGGCAAAATGTTGTGGCACTTCAACAGATATATATTTCAGTGTCAGCTGACACAAAAAAACGGATTCTGATCCGCAGAAGCTCATCCTGAAATAAATGTGTTACTCTTTGAAGTGCCACAATATTTTGCCTCTCTCTCTATATATTCTTTTCTTCATTTTGACTTCCATGTTGGGGGAGCTCATTATGCTTCTTTGCTTTCCGTACTAGTACAATTTCTGAGGATTTTCCGCACACTGTTTGAAGGCTTCTCAATGTCTGTTATGCTAAGCATGTGAGCACCAGACTAGGAAAACGCACAGGGGTTTTCTAGAGGCACGCACTGCATGTGTGGATCACACACTCATACTGTTGTGCAACTCTACCTGCCACCTCCTTGGAAAATCAGACATCTGTTGTAATGAGACTGGGTGTAAGGACTGGATTCATGTTGCTTATCCCCACTACTTATATCAATGGTCAGCACAGTAAAATCTGAGCAAAATCCCAAATTTTGTGCCAAATATCAGTTCTGAGTTTATGTGTTGCAATCCTGCAGTTAATAAGGATTTTGTTTTGCATCCCTGCAGCATATTTGTGATGCCTGGCCTTTATTTGCATCCTATCTCAGTGCAAATTTGAATATTATTCACTAGTATGCACATTGCTTCACTTACCAACTTGCAACCGATGTGCCATTTTAGCTTCTGCTCCACCTGTAGCTCTTACATATCTTGGTAGAACACCAGGAAGTAGCCTGGGGACAGGAAAAAGATAATCTTGGTGAAGCTTAAGTTCTTCCTACAATATTTACAGGCATCAAGACCAATACAAAGGCTATGTTTATATTTCACATCTATATCCCAACTACCTTCCATTAGCTCAGGGGTTATTTCACTTGACCCTTGAAATAGTCTTAAGAGACTGGAGTTGACTTACCTACAACCATCTTGTAAGCTTACAACGCTGATGTAAGACCACTGTGCTGGCTCTTCACACCTCACTTGCATATCACAAAAGGCCACATCCAAGACTTGCAACAGTGGATTGAGTAACACAACCATCCCACTGGAGGGCAACAGCAGTGAACACCTAGATGTTCCTCCTAAACTCTCTAACCATTCCCCTCTGCTCAAGGGCAGTGCTGAGGGTGTCATGTGGTCTGTTCTGCTAAATTGGTCACCTGAGCTACCCTCAGTTGGGACAGTAGGATGTTATCATTATCACTATTGAAGTGAAACTGAACTGGCTTCGCAGTCAGCTTCTCTATGCAGAATGTGCTTCAGGCAGAAAAATATTCTGGGCCAACCCTGGATGCATTAACTTAGGTTGCAACGTTTTATATCTCTTATCTGGAAGCAGGCCCCACTGAATTTGACAAATCTTAGTTGTTGTTATGTGCTGTCAAATTGGAACTGACTTAATAAGACCCTAACCAGGTTTTCAATGTAAGTGAGATATTTAAGGAGTGGTTTTACCCGTTCCACTTTCTCAGTGAGCTTCCATGGCTGAGCAGGGATTTGAACTCTGGTCTCTGGAGTCCTAGACCATCATTTAAGCAGAAGTAAGAAGACTTACTTCTGCTTAAATATGTATAAGACTGCACATCTAGGGGTCAGGTACAGGAAAGTTGAGCTAAAAATGGTCAAAACCTAAAAAGCTGCAGAGTACAGCTGTACTAAGGCGATATAAAATAGCTTTTCAGCGAACTGAGTGATATTCTGTAAAAATAACCATTTTACTTGTTAATGGTGCAACACTAAAAAGATTTACAAGGAGAAAAACACAAATGAATGCAGTGAAAATTAATTCTGAGTAAGCGTGTAGGGTTGCCTTATATGTCTTCTAGGCCAGATACGCTACAACTAAAAAAGAATAGGGAAGTGTGTGATATAAAAGAAGGCATGCAAATAACAGTTTTAAACGAGACACAAACTCAACAAGTCTAAGGACTCAGTTACACAGGCAATTTGATTTGATATGATTTCGAACGTTATTTACTTCTGTGTAGAGTTATGTGGTATATAAGGTGGAGTGCTTATCCATGCTAACAATCACTGCCAACTAGAAACAAAAGAGGGGAAAAGGCCACAATTAAGTAGGTGATGTGTAAAACTAAAAAATAATAATAATAAATGGGGGGAGGAGCATAGTGCCCATTCTGCCCCAAATCCACATAGGCACTTATAAAATTGACCCGAACATTCAGATGCACAAAACCAAATTGGATTGAAGCGATTTAGGGATCAAGGTATTTTATAAAGGCCATGTTTGCTGAGTGAAAAAAGAAACTCACAAAAAATATCAATTTTGCACATGTGTCAATTGCCTGGGAACTTTTAAATAAATAATGCTGAAGTGTGGCTCTTATGGCCAGTGTGACCACAGCCTAAATTGAGTTTTCAGTCATGACTACCAACTCGCAGTCCAGATTTGGCACTCAGTCCAGCTGAACATTTCACATGTGTCATTTCCCAAGACATACTCCAAAACAAGTAGTCTGTTGCCAGAATCCTGTTTGGTATTTGCATGACATTTGCATAACTCGCTGCAGTTAAATGCGGCTAATTAATGAGGTGGCAAGACACATCTTTGCCATGTGCCTGGTCACATGCACAATTGTGCAACTAGAATGTTCCCCCAGCACCTGATCAATTAGCTATGATTGACCAAAGTAAATTAAGCAAACGTAACACCAAAGCTAACAGCAATATGGTCTCAGCCTGTATTTTTAATTTCCTTGTTGCTTCTCTGGAAAAGTGATTTATTTGGACCACAAAGTGGCTACACTGGCTGGGAAGTTACGGTCCAAATAAGTAATGTTTCCAAGTGATGCAAGATTGAGCAGGAGCTCAGATGGATTTGCAAAGCAGTTACAGGAATTTGCAGAAGAGGATAAAAGTCCTAATCAGCAACGATCAGTTGTGATAGTTAAATGAATATCTATGTGCTGGGATGTTGTATTTCTTAATATTATATGCTACAAACATACACAATAAAAGGGGGTTATTACAGGCCTAGAGGATAATGACCACTGAAAGTAGCAACAACACAATAATAAAACAAAATACTGACACTGGTTCTGTCTTGGTTCCCAAAAGCATTTGAATTATTTGCTCCCGTATTTCCTTCTCTTCATACTGCACGGTGTGTACACCAGATGCTTCAGCATTCTTCACCAGAGAGGCATTCCTGATTTAATAAAGACATGAGAATCCGCAGATGCCATTGGAGGTGAGCATTAGGAAAAAGCAACTCTCTGTGTATCCTCTGTTAAGTGCATTCCATGTCTCTATGGCCAGCAGAGGTTTATTGTGGTGGCTTGCATTTGGCTGGTATTTGACAAATTGTCCTAAAAATGTCAACATCCGGGCCAATACATTTTATGAGGCCATCTTAAAGGCCACCAATACTGGGCAAGTGTTGAGTTCTCCAGAACTCTTTACCAAGCAAGGTAGTAAACAAACCAAAATTTTGTGGGAAGGAGAAAGAAGTGGGTATGAGTGGAATGGCTTGAGTTCAAATCACAGAATCTGTACTTGTTTGCAGATGTCATAGTTGGAACATCAGAGCTTGCAACATTATCCTGGAAATTTAGCTTGTCTTGCTTGTCGGCCGAAATCCTGTTGCGCAGTTACACAGAAGGTGCAGCTTTCCTCTGGTAATTGCCTTACGTTGAGAAATCTCGTGTGTTGCATGCTGAGTTGTGTGACTTGGCATGCAGCTGATAAGGCCTTCATTTATGGAAGTTCACTGCTAAAAGCAATGCTTTTGTATAACCGCACAACAGGTTTGAGGCCCTTGTTTGACTGGTATCCAAATCATTATCATTGTTGGTTCTACACACATAACTTATTTCATGATGCATTATAGCATGCCACTGTTAACCTGTTTCCCCTTTTGAACACCAAGTTCAAAAGGTTCCCCTTTCCCAAGCCTGGTGGAGACACTGCCAATTACCTTTTCTCTCCTAAAAACTGACCTTGGGTTGTCTTTTGAACTGCAGAACTAGAGCACTAAGGCTTTCTGGGTAATATAGAGAGTATTTGCGAAGGCTTTCACGGCCGGGATCTGATGGTTGTTGTGGGTTTTTCAGGCTCTTTGGCCATGTTCTGAAGGTGGTTCTTCCTAACGTTACGCCTGTCTCTGTGGCCAGCATCTTCAGAGGACAGCACTCTGTGCTCTGGTCCTCTGAAGATGCCGGCCACACAGACAGGTGAAACGGTAGGAAGATCAACCTTCAGAACACGGCCAAAGAGCCCAAAAAAATCCACAACAACCACTATACAGAGTGCTCCAGAAATTACAGCAAGAGGCATTTCAGGTACAGTGGACCCTTGACTTACAGACGGCTTGACTTACAGACTTTCTGAGTTACAGACTTCTCTGGCTGCAAAATTTAGATTCGACTTGCAGACGGAGAATCGACTTACAGACCAGAAAAAAAACCAAAATGGAACAAAATTAGAATAAAAACTGCCAGTTATGGGATTAATCGGTTTTCAATGCATTGTAGGTCAATGGAGACTCAACCTACAGACTTTTCGACTTGCAGCCACCATTTCAATATAGATTAATTCTGTAAGTAGAGGGTCCACTGAAATAGCCATAGTCATCCAGTTATTAAAATAATTAGATTTAAAACTATTGTAGAATGATCAAGAAATAGGGATAATGAATTAATATTTAACTGATTACTGTATCTTCAATCTCTGGAAAGGAAAAAATGTGCCTAGTAAACAGAACCACAAAACTGAGGAACTCAATTGGCTTGAACATAGTACAGTATACCTGAGAAGAGTCCAATGGAAGCTGATATAGATTACAGAGGAGTTGGACAGTTCAGCTATCATAGCCTTCCGACTTGCGGGACTGATATTCCACAGCAGGCTTGCGTGGCCTTTTATTTTAGCAACAACAATGTCGTCTGGGCTGTAGTTGACTATAAATTGCATGGCAGACTAGAGATAAATAAATGCAGAGGGAGGTTTAAAGTATCAAGTTAGAAAGAACCAGGAAAAAACTGTGTGGTCCCCAAAGATTATGTAATGTAAGTGTGGGCGACGCCTTTGATTGGACCACTAAAAATCAAACAATCTGCAAGCTTTTATGGAGAAAATTCCACATCTACAGGCTTAGCACATCCCCTTTATGGAGAGCACAGAAAAAATGTACATGAGATTCCAGACATTGGTAGTACGTGGCTGTGAGAGTTAACGTCAGTTCTCTCAAGGCGAGATATCAAGCTAAATTTGGAATTTCAGCATCCCTCTCCTAGGACCAAAAGGCAGCCAATTACTCTGTGATTGCCCCTCCAAAACACACACACACACACACACACACACACACACACACACACACACACACACACACACACACACACACACACACACACACACACGTTGCCTGCTTTGAAACCCCAGTTTCTTATTTGCCAAAGGAGTGAACACAGAGATTATATAAATCTTTAGCACAAACCAGGGTTATAATTTGCTTTAGTAGCAAAGACAGAAAGAACTGCTTTTGCTTCTAGCCAGATTCAGCTTTACCCTGCTTTTAGAACCATTTGCATTAAATTGCATTTAAATTAGATCTCATGTTACTATGGCAAAAACAAATGGAAATGGTTTCAAAAGAGTCTGAAGACAGTTACGGATCTTCTTATATCAGTCTTCAGGCGTCATCATGAAAACCAAACAGCATAGGAGACACAGGGGGTGTTAACTGATGAGATTATCCAGCCTTCCAGCAACAACTAAACTCTATCAGTAGTAAGTGGAAAGCAGAGAAATATTTCAAGTACAAATATCTATGCTGTTTCATTAGCTAAGTAGCCAGCCTAGGACTACCAGAAAAACTTGGTTAGATAACTAATCCCAAATAAGAATTGCACATCTAAGCCTCTGATATGTTTATGCTAATAAGTAAACTGGGCCTGTTAGCATATTAGCATAAACATATCAGAGTCTTAGATGTGCAACTCCTACTTGGGATTAGTTATGAAACAAGGGGTGTTTGAAGTGACAAGCACAGGACCAGTTATGAGTCATCCTGTTTTGTCTAGACACTTTGGTCTACCCTCATTTGAGCCAGAAATGATCAAATCAGGGACCTATTCAGGAACCTGCTCAGAGTGTCAGAGTTCAGCCTTGGGATGAAATAAAATTAGTATATGTGGGATACTTATTTCTTCCCACCAGTGCTGAATAATCACAAGTAGCTTTCCCCAATGGACTGCATTATTTTCTTAAGTCCTGCATCTTGCATCCAGAACCGATGACTGCTAGCAGGTCTGATAGTATCAATAGAAGGAATTCCTAGCAATACATGCTATATGAGCCTCTTTAATTTAAAATACTTACAGGATGAAGAGCATACTGGCTGGTGAGTTCATTATAGGCTACGTGAGAGAAAGGGACCAGATTGTGCTGCTGAGCACTCATGGTAAATAAGGACTAAGAAGAAGAAGAAGAAAAGAGAGAGAAAGAGAGAGAGACGATCTGTATTATAAATCGTGCCTCAATTCCTTCAAACATTCTTCATAGCACTGGGTTTCTAGACATTTTATCATCTTGGTTGCCCTCTTCTGGACACATTCCAGCTTGTTAATAGCATTCTTAAACAGTGGTACCCAGAATGGGACACAATATTTGAGGTGGGGTCTGACCAAAACAGAAGAGACTGTCCCTTGATCTGGACACAATACTTCTGTTGATGGAGTCTAGTCTTGTATGCCATTGTTTTGCTGATGCGTCACCCTGTCGACTCATGTTTAAATTGTAGTCTGCTAAGAACCCCCCTGATCCTTTTTCACACGTACTACTGTGGAGCCAGCTATTACTTGTTGTATAGTTGTGTTTCAGAAGAGGTAGTTGTGTTAGTCTGGGCAAGCATATTAGGCAAAAACCAAAGAAAAATAAAAGAGACAAAAACATTTTAGAACATTAAAGACTATGTAGTAATTAGTCTTTAAGGTGCCACAATGTTTTTATCTTTTTTTTAATGCTATGTATATTTGTGTATCTATTTTTTCCTGCTTAAATGCAGAGTGCTACATTTTTGTCTGCTAAAATTCATTTAGTTTCGGTCCAGTTTTCCAATTTGTTAATACTATAGAATCATAGAATAATGGAGTTGAAAGAGACCTATAGGGCCATTGAGTCCAACCCCTGCTCAATAAAGGAATAGAAATCAAAGCAGATCTGACAGGTGGTTATCTAAATTTCTCTTGAAAGTCTCCAGTGTAGCAGCACTCACTACATTCTGAGGTAACTGGTTTAATTGTCGTATTGCTCTAACAGGAAGTTTTTTCTGACATTCAACCAATGTTGTTTAATTCTTTTAAATGTTGTACTAATTTATTATTTTTGCTTTTAATGTTGTTTCTTTTACTACAGTAAGCTGCCTTGAATCCTTTTGGAGAATGGCAGCATATAAATATTTTAAATAAACAAACAAATCGAAATCTAGCTTCCTTAACTTTTACCCATTATTACATGTCCTGTCCCCTGACAGGACTGAGGATAGATCCTGCCTCTCCTCCATATGACAACCTTTAAAATATTTGAAAATATATATTTCTGCTTAGTCTTCTTTTCTCAAGGCTAAACATGCTGAGTTCTTTCATTCTTTCCCCAAAAGCCTTAGTTTCCACTCCCCTGATCATCCTTGTTGCCCTCCTATGAATTTGGTCCAATTCGTAAGCATCCTTCTTAAAGTATGGCATCCAGAACTGGACAACGTACTCAGGATGAGGCCTTGTTGTTGGTTTTTAGTTGTTAAGTTTGTCACCCCATGGACCCAAGCACGCCAGTCCCTTCTGTCTGTATGAGACCTAACCAGTGTCAAATAGAGAGCAACTAGTACTTCACAGGATTTGGAGACTATACGCCTATTAATGCCGTCTAGAATAGCACTCTTTTGCAGTTGTATCACACTCTTGACTCACATTCAGCTTGTGCTCTACAATATTTCCAAGATCCTTCTTGCATGTAGTACTAATGAGCCATGTATCCTCCCTCTTATAATTATGCATTTGGTTTCTCTCTGTTTCTGCCTTCCAGGATATTAGCTATTCCACCCATTTTTGTGTAATCTGCAACTCTGATAACCATTTCCTGCATTTCCTCATCCAAGTCATTAATGGAAATGTTGAAGAGCCCCGGGCCCTGCGGAACCCTATGTCATCTTGAATCTTAATTCTTTCTAGAGAAATATTAGTTACCTTTGTCTGTTCAATGTTATCTGAAAAATTGATGGACATCTCATCCACACCCTCATTCAAGTTGTTTATAAGAAATTTTAAACAATGCTGGCACATTCAAGCTCCAGTGTGATGAGAAATGATAGGTAAGGGCTCTTTGGGTATGACCTAGGAAGCAGGTACAAATCCAGCTAACATGAGCATTGCTTACCCTACAGCACTGGTTCTTAACCTTGGGTTACTCAGGAGTTTTGGACTGCAACTCCCAGAAGCCTTCACCACCAGCTGTCCTGACTGGGGTTTCTGGGAGTTGCAGTTCAAAAGCATCCAAGTAACAAAGGTTAAGAACCACTGCCCTACAGTTTACCTGCTTGATTAAAAGAATATACTGTAATGAAACACCTATTCAAATCCCTTGCTGAAATCAAGATATACTACATCTCTAGCATCCCTCCCATTTATCAATCTTGTGATTGCATCAAAAGAAGAGGCAACATCTGTTTAGCACAACTGGTTTGTTGTTCAAACCCAACTGAACAATCTGTAATATTAAAACTCTATTGGAATAGAAAGCCATTTGTGGCATAATAGACAAGAGAAGTGAAATTTCTGGGTAAGCAGGATAGAAACGCAGCTATATTGTGAAATGTTTCAATATTCATTAAAAAAAATCTGCCTCAGTTTTCAATGTCAACAGTGCATTCTCTCCCCTGCCCCTCATCTTACCTCATAACCACTTATAGTAATTTTGACAGATACATCCAGAGGCTGATTAGTTACTCCGGCCACTGATTTGACCAGTGACATAAGAAGCAGTGGGAACCACACAATGCAGATGAGTACAAATATAATGAATCCTCCCATCCCATACTTCACAATCATTTTCTTCTTCTGCCCAGGAGGCTTGGGATATTTCTGCAAAACATGAAAAGCTAGATGGCAAAGCAGGGCAGATACACAAATCTACGCTCAGGAAACTTAAGCTGAGAAATAGCTGTGTGAGTCTGTTTGAGTATTTCAGACCAAAAACAGCAGCAGCAACAACAAAATAAAAATTACAAATAAAATCGTTGTGACACCTTAAAAACTGTTATATTTTAATGTGAGCTTTCATGGATCAAGTCCACTTCCTCAGACTTTAGGTGAGACTATATGACTATCGTATTTATACACAGCCCCGTGACCAGGTAAGGATGCAGATTATGGCAAAATCGCTGTGACACCTTAAAAACTAACTGTTATATTTTAATGTGAGCTTTCATGGATCAAGTCCACTTCCTCAGACTTTAGGTGAGACTATATGACTATCATATTTATACATAGCTCCGTGACCAGGTAAGGAAGCAGATTATGGCTAAAGTGTCAATGGCTCTCTGGCAGAGCAGTAGGACTTCCTGCCCAGAGAGTTTCTGGGAGTTGTAGTCCAGAAACACAAATCAGTGCAGAATGTGGTCTGCCTGTTTAGCACACAAAATACAGCAGCAAATCCCGGATTGTCCTCAAGTGAATATCCCCAAGGGAGCTCAAGATCTCTCAGAAGGGAATGAATGTTTCAGCTCCCTGAGTCTCCCTTGGCCAGTGGACACACAAGCTAAGGGATTGTAGCACTCCAAAAAAGGTACTTTCTCAAGTTCTGGCATGAGCAACTGAGCAAAGAACGATGAGTGACCTATCTCACATTTACACGTTGACTGGAATCCTGGTGCTTCGCAGATAGCAAGTTGCAATCAAAATAGGCCCACATGAAGGAGTTAAAACCCCCAATCCTCACTGGTTCAATTGGCTTAGTGTAGTGCATCTTATGGGATGTGGTGGCACTGAGGGCTAAACTGCAGAAGCCCGTGCTGCAGGGTCAGAAGACCAAGCAGTCATAAGATCGAATCCACGCGCCGGAGTGAGCGCCCATCGCTTGTCCCAGCTCCCGCCAACCTAGCGGTTCGAAAGCATGCAAATGCAAATAGATAAATAGGGACCACCTCGGTGGGAAGGTAACAGCGTTCTGTGTCTAAGTCGCATTGGCCATGTGACCACGGAAGATTGTCTTCGGACAAAACGCTGGCTCTATGGCTTGGAAACGGGGATGAGCACTGCCCCCTAGAGTCGAACACGACTGGACAAAAAAATTTGTCAAGGGGAACCTTTACCTTTACCTAGTGCATCTTATAATGCTAAGCAACAGGACTTCAGCCATTATATTTTATGGCTATATACCTAAAAATATAAAAGCTGAATAAACCGTACTCAAAATGCTTTGAGTTATAGCAAGCCATGGTGTTCATGGGGCAGTAAGAAAAGGCATAGTTAGCTCACATCCCTGCTGGAGGATTACTTAGAGACTAAGCAAAGCTTCGGGACATATTCCATCATTCAGTTATATAGATGTAGCCCTCTCTGTCCAATGCACAGAGGTTCATGCCAAATGAAGCTTGCTAGTCTTAAAGATACCACAATATTGTTTTGTTGCACCAGGCTAACACAGTTGCCTCCTCTGTAACTGTTTTATACAAAAATGACTGGTCCTCTGCCCCTGATTCCATACATAGCCACCCAAGGTATTTTGGACTTCCATCCTGCCCCACTTCACCATTTCACGGTGATGTCTCTAACTTCAAATCTTGCATTAGCCAAGCATTGGAAAATTCCATGTTGTGGGACTGCAGAGAAGGCACCTTCCGACACAGAGCTAAGCCACACTCAAACCCAATAGTTTCTGCACTGGACTGGCATGGGCTCACTACACACAGCGCCAATCTATAGCATCTGCACTAATGTGCTAAAAATAGCCGAAAAGGAAAAACACTTACTTTTTCAGATTCTCTCCAGCATTTCATGATGAAAATATTAGCATAGATATCCTCCACGCAAATCCAGCTTGAAAGGCTCAGAGTGGTGTCAGTCCAAACCCAATCCATGACCGCCCTCAGCTCTTTCAAGAAGGGTACCAAGCGAAATCTAGCATAGGAGAGAAAGAAGGCTTGTCAGAATTGCCAACCAATGTTCTGTAAAAAGGACCCAAAGCAGGGAATCGGGCAAAAGTAGTTTCCACTATTTCCTAAGTCAGAGGTGGTGAACATTTGGCACTCTAGATATTTTGGACTACAACTCCCAGAATCCCCAGTCTGTACTGCCAATGATGAAGGACTGTGAAATCATGTAGTCCAAAACATGTGGCATGCCAAAGGTTTACCGCCCCTGCCCTCGGGGCAGGAAACGGCCAATATGCTAATTTAAATCCACACTGTAGACCTAAGTCTGTTTGCTATCTTAACCTTGCTTAACCGTAACACTTTCTCATGGGTAAAAGATGGCATGAAATGGCATGAAATGGCCTTTCTGGTCTCTGCATGAATCATGGGGGAATCTTTCAAATTTTATGTAAAACAGGAACGATTAAGGGGGCTTCATAAGTCAGATCCAATGCCCTGGAAAAACAACTTTATATCAATTTAAATTTCAAAATTATTACATAATGGAAAAAATGCTCAGAGTATCACAGAAAAAAGCATTAAAGTTGTTAGAAATAGAAATACTTCACACTTGCTACAAATGTGAATAGGGAAGGTGCAGTACGTTCTAAGATTTTGAAGTGTTTTTCAAAATCTATTTTCCTTGTACGACAACAGTGTTCTCCCGTTGGGTTTACTTCAGCAAAGGGCCACTGGAATATGTCAGAATTGTGCTGATCTCACAATGCTTGTTTGTCCTGAATGGCTTACAATAATAGTGTCTCTCTCATCAGGGTATGATTCGGTTTTTGTGTCCTTCCATTTAAAAGTGCTGCTTACCCTTGGAATAAGAAGAGGTTTATGCAGTTATAACGTTTAGTCAGAAAGTTGCCCAAGACTCGTTTGGGATATCCACACTTGATCTGATATGCCGACAAACCGAAATAAACACACTTGACTAAGTACCACAGCTGAGCCACTGAATTCCGGTTAAACCTCCTGCAAGTGAACAGAAGAACTATGTCAGTCTCCCTCTGTAAGGTTAACTGCAAGCTAGTTAAAGGATTTCTTAGCTTATGACTTTCATTCAGCTATGCATGCATGTTCAGTATATGCAATCTAGATTGGGCAGGCCGAAATGCCTTCAAACAACTGTACCCATCTGTTGCAGGTGTGAAAGAGAGCAATGAAATGCTAGCCTTTTACTACCTCTAAACAAAAGCTGACACAATGGTGAAATTATGAATTTTTGTAAACAGTCCCAGCACAGAAGTGTGGGGAGTTGGGCAAGAGGTATGAATCAGAAGTGCAATATCTGATATCCACTCATGTTATTAGTTGTAGTTAGGAAGTTTTGCATTCTTCTGAATTCCAACTTTATTTTGGATTAGAAGCCAATGGCTAAAAGCACGGCCTTAACTCTAGAATGCTTGCTTAATGAAGTGATGAAATGTCCTGCTTTCTCCATTTCTGAAAGTTTGTGGAAGACTATCACTAAAATTTTAGTTGTACTTGACTTAATTCTTCACTATGTTTATTAGAGACAGGGGTATTTCTATACGAATACCCCCGCGCAGCTGAACTTATTGAGTGTCCAGCCCTGGGGCTGGACTGCCCACTCACCTGTCTGCCAGCAGCCTCGCTCTTCCTTCCAATCACTCCCAGACCCCCACTCGGCTAGCCATTCCTGGCAATGAGAGGGAGGAATATTCTCCCTGTAAAGCTGCTGAGTTGCTACCCAAGCAGGAGTGATTGGAAAGATGAATGAGGCCACTGCCAATGCAAGACATGGGAGTGGATGGTCCAGGGACCCTCATTAAGTCCACCTGTTCAAGGGTATTCGTATTCGTATACAAATATGGATGCCCCCATCTCTAACATTTATTAAACTAACCATTTTACTTTTGCAGTGTCATGTATTTGCTATTTGTTCACTATTTTAATCTGGGTTTTGTTCTTCCTGTTGTTGTCTTCGAGTTTTTGTAAAACACCAAAACCTCTAAAAAGTAGCCTGGAAATATTTTCGATAACTAATGATGCATAACAGTTTTCATTCAGCTTGGGATATACTTACATGGTCTCTGATTTTGAGTGACAAATTTGCACATCCTTAGCTAGACGGGGTAAATGTCTAGTTTCACAGTCAATAGGGCACGGTTTGTATCTGACAAGAGGAAGCTTGTCCAGTCCATGCCTCAGAACGCATCTTATTTCTGATTAAGTTGCTGAGCATGGAAGCAAGTGTACATTGATGATTTCTATGAATGCTGTTTAATATCTATATGAGACCGCTGGGAGGGGTCAACAGGGATGACACCCAGCTCTACATCTCCTTTTCACCAACTGCAGGTGATGCTGTCCTTTCCCTTCAGCGCTGCCTGGGGACCATACTGTAATGGATGCAAGAAAATGGGCTGAGGCTGAACCCAGACAAGATGGAGGTTCTGAGGGTGGGTTCCCCCGTGGTTGGCGGCTTGGGTGACTCTTGGGTGACCCCGTGGTTTGGGGGGGTGACCTTGGCCACTAAGAGTGGGGTTCGCAGCTTGGGGATCCATCTGGACCTGGCGCTCACCATGGAAACGCAGGTGGCATCAGTAGTCCATACCGCCTTTTTCTATCTTTGGCGGATTCCTGGCTGCGACGCTACCTTGATACGGGCGCGCTCACTATCTTGGTGCATGCACTCGTAATCTCAAGATTAGACCACTGTAACACGCTTTACATGGGGCTACCTTTGAGGCTGATGCGGAAACTCCAGATGGTGCAGAATGCGGTGGCCAGACCTTAGTGGAGTGAGAAAATACCCGCATATTTCTCCTACTCTAGCCGCACTGCATTGGCTGCCCACTCGGTTCCGCATTGATCTCAAAGTTTTAATGCTTACTTACAAGGCCCTAAACCAGGGGTGTCCAATCTTTCACCTTCCCTGGGCCATGTTAGAAGATGAAAATTTGGTTTGGGCCGAACATACATTTGGTTTGGGCCATATGGGGGGGGGCAGCCCTAGCCATCCTCCGCAGCCCCACTCCAAGCACGCTTACTGGCAGCTGCAATCTCAGACAGCAGAGGGTTTGAGGTCTGTGTCTTTGCTTTTCTACTGGAAGCAGGCTTT